GGCCTTAATCATTAGAATGGGATTCTGGGGTATATGGGCCTTAATCATTAGAATGGGCTTCATGTAGGGGCCTTAATCATTAGAATGGGATTTTGGGGTATATGGGCCTTATTCTATAACTACACTAAGGAACCCCTGGAATAGTATATGACATTATTAAGACCCCTAACATTAACTTGGGATGTATCGAGTCGTAAAGATGAATGCTTGGCAGAGAAACTTGAGAACATGAAACTTGAGCTGAGGTTAATACCATTATAATTTTAATTATAAGAGTAGTCTTTCTCATACTTGTAGATCGTACCAAACGATACCTTAAGTGTTTGCGAACACTCCCCTCAACGCCCTGACCCCTGCGCCTAAAACTCGACGACTTACCAGCACCCAAACCAAACCTAAGTCGCGATTTTTCCGGCGGGATTGTTGCGACCGTTTGGGAGTCCAGGGTGTCAGGCTTAAGGCTTTTGGGGTCGTAAGGAACGGAAAGGTGCAAGCCCCGACCGGCATTCGCCGACAACTTTGTGCCGAGGCCGCTGCGGAAGCCGCTCGGCCTGCCTTTGGCGTGCCGAGGCGAAGGATGCTATCAGATGCTATCCGTGCTTTTTGACGCCATAAGATGATGGTGGAAGACCTAGGACCTGCTATTGGCGATGCTTCTGCGGGGTTTGCATGATCGGTGGTCTTTCGGCTTAGGATTTCGAGTCACGGCACGCTTGCACAGCAGAACAAACCTCAAAATTCGAAAAAGTCACATACTAGAGAAGTGGAGCCCGAAAGAACACCCACCTTACCACGCCCGAAATCTTATTACCCCCAATCCGAAAGCTGGGCGGCAAGCTTCCTTGTGCACTGTTGTTAGTCAGTGTTGTTGCCACCCGTCCCGTCTGTAACCGCCCTGCAACCTGCAGCGGCTCCACACTCATCTGACTCATCTGATGCTTATCAACTGCACTAGCGAATGTTACCGGCAGTGTTGTTGCTGTGCGAGAACAAAATGAAGCCAAATAGATGAGTCTTCCCACATTACTGGAGTAAACAAAGGTGATCGCAGAAGTCGTCGTCGTCGTCGTCGTCGTGGTGGTGCTGCTGCTGCGGCGACAATGACGGCGACTACCACATACTAATAGCAGTCGAAGCAGTAGCAGCAGCAGCAGCAGCAGCAGCAGCAGCAGCAGTAGTAGCAGTAGCAGTAGTAGTGGCAGAGCAGTAGCAGTAGCAGTGGCCGTAGCAGTAGCAGTAGCAGTAGCAGCTGCTGTAGCGGTAGCAGTAGCAACAACGACAACAACAAAAACAACACAGCCTACAATGCACCACCACTACCACCACCGCCACCACCACCACCACCAACAACAACAACAACACCTTGCCCCAAACCTACTCTAAAGGAGAATAGTGAGAATACACAACTGGGTCCGCGGCAGCTTAGCCTCAAGCTCTTGGTAAACAGTCCTGGCTCAGGACAATCATTGAATGTCAGGGCTTGCAATATGAAGAATTAAGTGTTTGGGGCCCGCGGGTTTGGCGGTTTAGGATTTGGGGCTTCGTTTAGGGTCCATATATAATTAACACTTAAACTAAATAGGGCAGGCCACACCCTTCGTGCATGCATGATGCAAAACCTTCTTCACGACCTCCTCCCGCATATACAAACTCACCCCAGGTCCGCACCTGTAATCCTGTGGGGCCCTGTATGTGCTTTGGCAGCTGTGCCGGTGGCTCTACTGCAACGATTGACACAAACCTTGTGTTCACTCTTGCGGCTGCCTCTTTAAACTCTAAGTACTGTTAAAGGGGATCTTCAGCTATAGGCCAGCCATCGGCGCTGTTGTCTTTCCTGAGGTGTCCGCGGTTCATCCCTCAAAATACCCACTTACACCACACTTCAGGCTGCCCCTCTTCCACACTTACATGCCATCTGCCCTAAGCAAGCCACGTAGTGAGCCAAGTCCGACATGCTCAGCTCCAAATCTTTCAACGCTTCCGAACAAACTGCGTCGTTTACGGTCGCACCTCAAGGAAGCACGGCGCTGTGCATCGCCGGTGGTCCACTGCACGATGTCGATGTAGTCATAGCTGGCCGTGTGGTCTTCTCTCTGGGCTTTGAGTTGGCTACGACGTAGACGCTGAACCATGCAAATCCAAGCATGCGGTAGATGTTGTAGGCGACTTCCACATCACTGCTCCCAACCAGCATGGGCCGAGTATCAAAACCCTCAACCTAATTGAAGGAGTCCACAGCAGTAGCTGCCCAGCTAAGATGATCATGATCAATCGCGGGACCTCGGGTGGCATGGGGGTTTCGCGAGGGATATTGGTAGGGTACCCAAATTCTTCTCCAACTCACGAACTGATGAAGGAGCAAGATGCAAACTTGCCAAGGCCACACTCGATTTTCATAGCCCTCGGCACCTGAGCTGGGCAAGGAGAGTCTCTAGAGTACTAGATTACTTTTCAAGCGACCCGAAATCAGAAAGCCTAAACTGGCAAATCGAATTTGTGGGACGTCCTCTCTGAGCACTTGGCGTGGGTCGGCCTTGAGGAACCTTGTCTCAGTGCTGTTACTGTCTCATACCGTCTGCGAGCGTAAATGAACTACGCAGACGACCCGATGATGCTCATCGGCTCTCATGAAGGTTTGGCCGCCAACATGATTGCTGGTCATGCTGCTTCGCATGTCTGAAGCAGGCTAATGGGCCCTGACAAACGGTGCTTTCTCAAAGCTTTCGGTAGGAGTTGGAGTTCAGGCTATGGAACAGTGGGAGTTCACAAACTGAGGGTTCATGGTCTTTTGATCTTGGGTTTGAAGGGGGAAGTTGAAGCAGAGGGTTTGTGGGCGGCTTTGGTTGTGGATTGTGTTTGGGGACTTGCTGTCAATGTTGGGGGTCAGGACTTGGGAGTTTTGGACTGCTAGGCTTAGGTTCTGCAATGGCATCTTGCAATTGCTTTCTGGAGCTGAAATTCCGATGATCGTATGCTGCATTACATGCATTGGTTGGAAAGGACTGCTAAATCATCAGATGATTAATTATTCGTTGCTCCTGTTGCGCTTCGGTCCGTTTCTGGGAGGCTGCGATACGGTCGGACTTCATAAACTATAGTAGCTAACAGGCCAAAGGCGTAAGACACTGAACCTAACCTCTCAACTGAAATCGTGAAGACACGGGGCTTCGTGAAGAGGTATCCCTCCTGCCGCTGGTTGAACTTCGCCACCTCCTGTAGCAAGAAGGAGCTGCTTCATGATACCTATCCCTACAGGGGGTTTCGGCTTTTGCGGTCTTAGTCTGGCGGTTCGGGTTAAGGGCTTTAGAGTTTAGGTTTTAGCGGCTTGCTTCTAGCATCGAAGTCTTCTAGTACCAATTCATGGTCCCATGTTCCATCGGTATTGGGACAAGCTTACTCCAAATTTTTGCTTGAGGCACAGATACAGCAACAGTACAGGTACTCCCAGTGCCAAGCAGTGAGCCCCTCGCTCCAGAAGCCCCCACGTCATAAACTGCAAACCGACAGAGACCGGAATCTACCCGAAACCTCTACCACACACCCACAAGCATGAGTGAGCAAACACTGCTAACAAGAGTGCCACCTGCCCGAAAGGAATTCATCGGCAGGCTCACACAGATTCAGCCGGAGGCTCCGCTCCGCTCCTCATACCTGTTTACGGCGCTCCTGTTGCTGCCACTGTCCTCTTGCTGCTGGCCGCTCTTGTGTTGCGGCTGTTGTCGTTTCTGTTGTCGTTGTTGAGATGCCCTCTTCCGAAACGCCGCGCGTTTGTGAAGAGCATTTGGCGGTAAACCCCAAACCCCTTGTAGCCCACTGAGCCCTAGATGAACCTTACATCTCATTGCCCACGAGCCTTCCAATCTTGCTCAAATTGGTGCTTGTCCTCCTCTTTGACCTTGTACCTCAGATTGCAGCTACCCTGTCGTCGAATTGCTGTACGACGGGTAGAGCTTCGGGCCAGGTTAATGAGACTTGCGTGCCGCACTGCGCAAAAGGAGTGCATACGAATCAGTCAAAAGTACCGGCGGGCAAAGTCACCCGAAACTGCCTTCTAAACTCAATGATGCTCGACAGGCAGGCTTGCGTTATGTATTCCTTTCGCCGTTCAACAATGCAAAGCGTGTGCGTGCACGTGCGTGTAACAGACGCAGTCTATTCAGTATATACGCAGATGCAAACACATAGCGATTATCAATTAATTTTGTCTGTCTCTCCATCGGTCGCCGCTGTTGCAATACAAAGCGGCTCTAGATGGAACTCCCGCATGCAGGCGCTGTGGTTTACTTGCGAAAATCCGACAGACACTGGCGCCAAAGCGAGCTTTCAACAGGAGAGCTCCCCCCATGACTTCAAGCATTGGGCATTCGGAAACCTATGAGTATGTCTTTGATGTCTGTGCGCATCCTCAGCACGGCCATGTGGAAACAACAACACAAAGACAAGTGCGTAGTCAAACAAAGACCCTATACCGTTCCCCAACAAGGGATTGGGTTATCGTGTTTTTGTCATCGGTTTACCAACGAAAACCACTAGTCTTGATGTTACAGTAGTACAAACTTAGTACGGACGACCCACCAGCAGCTAAACGAGATACCATGTATGTACATACACTTGAACCTGCGTGCTTCTGTCTACAAACTCATACATACGCAGAACGAACCGTGAACATATATCAGTATGGTACATACGTGTACATATACACACCTTTACATACAGATGCATGCACACGTACATGCGCACATGACATATACACATACACATATACACATATACACATATACATACATACATACATACATACATACATACATACATACATACATACATACATACGTACGTACATACATACATACTTACTTACATACCTACTTACATGCATTCATGCATTCATGCATTCATGCATTCATGCATACATGAATGCATGCACGCATGCATAAGCATATACATGCATCATATCTAGACACAGAGATAGAGAGAAAGACGGACAGACAGAGACAGAGACGGACAGACAGACAGACAGAGACAGGGAGGGACAGAGACAAAACAGAGCCAGAAAAAGACCGAGCACAGAATCCTTCCTTGCAACAATGCCAACTGAAAGCCCTGAGGCCAATTTCAAAACCATCAACTATACCCTAAACTAGGAGCCACGCAGGTTCAGGAAGGCAAACGGAGGGGGCCTCGGTCTCAATTTTCTTTGGCAGTGCGCATTCTTATGGCGCAGGTTTTTGGGTCTCAGGCTATTCTGTTTTCGGGCTTGGTGGCTGAAGTGCTTGGGGGTTGGGGGTTGAAGGTTCATGGATTCGGTGCACGCTGTAAGAGTTCTTGGTGAGCATGTCAAAAGCCGGCTTGAAGTGTACAATGTAAGAATAGGCAAGGTCATGATAGCTAAGATGACCTGCTAAAAGCATTTCAGTGTCGGGTTGGCGAAGCTTTTCGCAAGACAAGAGCACTGTTGCGGTACTTGGGCTTGCGGCTCCTGCTCTGCGTACAGCTGAGGCCTGTGCTTGGAGAGGGGGAAGATGTCGTAGACCTCAGCAAGCAGGAGTGCTGCTATGTTCTTGCTTTATATTATGACATGAGCCGGCAAACTGCGAGCCGCTAGGTCGAGAAGCTTTTGCCGTAGCGATGGCGCAACAGAGTGGGACCTCCGTGGGAACCAAGGGTGGAGGTTTCGGCGGGCGTACCACGCCACAGCCCTACCAGGAACAACATGACCATCAGGTGGGCATACCATGCCGCGACCCTGGTTCAGAACAGTTCGCTGCATCTGTGGCAGCATGCTTGAAGTGTTCAGCCGACTGCAACAGGAACTCGATGTGTCGTAGATTCATTGCAGTAGCGCTTGGAGGACGATGTGCCCCAGCTCAATCAAGGCTTACAGGATTTGCTTTCTTGCTTGGCACGAGACTTGCATGAACCTACGGGGCACACCGGCAGCCGGCCGACAGGGACCCCACACCTGCCTTCTTCACATCGCTGCTCGTACTGAAAGCAGAGGTCTATGTCGCCTGTGACTAATCCCGCAACTACCTATAGTCTCCATTGCAGTTCCTTTTTGGGGATACCTTATTAACTCGTTAATATATATTTGGCCTCGCAGGCGCCTTGGAAGGAAACGCCGGAGGGAAGGGAACCAGGAAGCCTCTTGCTGTGAGGCTTCCAGTGCAGCTGGAGTCCACCATGGGACCCCGAAGGAACGGTTGTAAAGGATGTCCCGTGCCCAGGTGCGGGAGTCTTCTGTGGTCTTTTCGCGAAGTTGAGGCAAGGTCTTCAGCCTCTTTTGCTGCCCATCCAGCCACTCGTACTCCTCCTGCGATTCACTAAGCTGCTTCTGAAGCTCCTCTGCCTTCCTCTTCTTGTTGCGCGCCTTCTGTTCCCCTCCTTTCAGCCTCTCTTCAGCTGCGGCATCTCGGAACTTCTGCTTCATCTTGCCGGTAAGATGGGACATGGCCTGCTTCTGCTCCTCCTTCCGCCTCCCCAAATCCTCGACGAAGCCTTGGATCTTGTCAAAAGAACTCATTCCCTCAAGTTAGCTCAAGTCCGGGAACGAACAGTCCTTTCAACTTATCTCCATTCTGATAACTGAAATTCGAAACTACCATGGACTTTATTAGTGTTTGTCCCTATGGCGTGAATTTATGTACCATTAGGAGAGCCCAGAAGCAGTGAAGCAAAGCGTTGAAGTTACGCCTTGCTCCGGGAGCTCCTCCGCCAGCCTCTGCTGGCGATCCAGGAGTGTCGTCTCCATGAACTGGTAGGAATCCTTCCGCGGTGTAGAGTTGTGAGTGCAGGGTTTCGGGGTGACTTCCGAACCCTGTAATGAACTTGGCTTAGGCCTCATCATCTAGGAACAAGAGTTCAAGTCCTAGTGTAACAGCCATGCAGAAGAGAGCCAAGAATCCTTCATCCAGGTTGCGAATGCTTGCAGGACTGCTTGGCCCTGAGCATAGCGACTCGCCATGGTTTCATGTCGAGCCTTCTTCTGCTGCTCAGCTCTCATAGCCACCCTCATGAGCTCCGAAACTTTCGCTCGCTGCAGCCGATGCTGTTCAGCATGTCGACGCTGGTGTCGGATGTCTTGCAGCAAGTGCTGGCATCTGGCAAACTGAGCCTTCAAGCTGGCAAGTTCCTGTTGCAACTCCTCCTGTTTCTTTTGGCAGCTGCGCTCAGCTTGCTGTTCTTCAGCGTGGCAATGCGAGGTGATGTTGCTCAATGCATCTCGCTGTCGAGCGTGCAGGGCCAAACATTTGGATGCAAGAAGTACGTGCTGGCTCTGCAACCTTTTAAGATGCTGCCTCTCCTGCATATCTGCCTGATTGAAGCTTGCCGAATGTGTCCGAAGCAGGGATGGCACCTCACTTTTGGTCGTTACTGCCCTCTCCTGCTCCTTGTGCTGTTCGTAGAGCTTGTAGAAGTGTCTGGCACGGCGCTCTTCCATTTCCTTGCGCCTCGGCACCAGCGCGTTTGCCGAGAGACTTTCGGACTCACCGCGGATTTCGGCCGTCAGCCTCGAGATCTCCTCCTTGTAGTTGGCATAGAGAACAGTACGATTAGAGCTGTCACTTTGTATCTCTCGGAATACACTGCGGACATGTTCCGTGATGGCAACCTTGATAAAGAGATCCTCCCTGGCATAGGAACCCTGCGGGTGATTCGCCAGGATGTTCTCCAAACCTCGATGCAGCTCCGCTCCCCGCTGCTCGAAGAATTGCGGATTTTGCTCCACAGCCTTCTTGAGCTCCTCGCAGAAAGAGCTCAAACTCTCAAGGCTGTGGGGCTCTAAGTCGCTTGCGTCAGGGTCTGCTTCCGGGGCTGGGAGAAGCCCTTCCGCAGCAAGCTCCTCCTCAGCCAGTTGGCCCACCTCACTGGGAAGACCCACTAAGTCCGCCTTGTCCCTCCAGCAGGCGGCCTCCACTTCGCTGAAGAACTCCTCCACCGACTGCTTCAACTCTGGCCACTCCCCGTGCGTGCGAGCTGCGACCTCCTCCCCCATGGATGCGAAGAACTCGAGAGGGGCTCTTGCTCGATCCGACAGTCTGCACAACAAAAGCTTAGCAAATGTGCAAGAACAGCACAGAGCAAGAAGACTACCGAGCCTGGTCATGTGTCCCTGTCTGCTCTCTCCACACTCTTCTGGCAATTCTGGCAAGAGGCTTGACCTCTACCTGAACTTTGTAGACTATTGTAGACTTCCAAAGCCCGCACCCTAAACCTCACAACAAGTCCAAAGCAACTGCAGAAGCTGCGCAAACCAGGCATCTGGCATTGTCTACATCAGGGTTCGTGAACGCAAAGCCACCAGCAGCACCTGAAAGAGACGCAGGCGAAGTTGCGCAACTCGAACGACGAGAATGAGTCCCGCAGACAATCAAGGAGTCATGTCGGTGACGAAGAGGATTCAGTACACTCAGAGAGCGCCTGTCGCGAAAGCAGTCAAGCGGTTGAAGCCTCCCAGAGCAAGGACACTCTGCAAAGCAAGCCGCTCTATCGCTGACAAGTCTCGGCATGGATCTGATGCAGCACCAAATTTGAAAAGCATTTGGAGGGTCTTTCCTACAGGAGATATGATCTAAATAGATACTGCCAGCAGCTGGACTGCCAATGATTCGTGAACCTCCGAAAATAAATAAGGCTTTGGGCTAAGAATTTGGACTGTATAGGGCAGGGGTTCATGAACTGCCGTGATTTCGATTTGTAAGCCATTTACAGTGTAGGGCCTTGGGGGTTTAGGGGGTTTTCGGGTTGACCTCTACACCGATATTTTGCTGCTCCAGAGCTATTGAACTCTGCCACCCAAACCGCGGAGTTCTTGCTTTCCCTGCAGCAAGACGAGCTGTTGTTCCACTATTGCCTTCTTTCCCAGGTCTGACAGGACCTTCACTTTCCGACGGTTTTGTCTCGGAAGTTTGGCCCTGGCTTGTTTCAAGTGTGGCCGGGCCTGTGTATGTTGTTACCTGCTCTCTGATGCTCGTGAATTGCTTCAGCCTCCTGTCTGTGTGTTCGTGTGTGCGTTACTGTAGGGCGTTTGGAACTCCATGGGAACCCTTACAACTTAGACTTTGAGCCGCCTATTGAAAAAAAACAGTTGAATTAATCTTGATCAGCGGGAAGCAAAACTAGGACAAACAAGCTGCAACAGGCAAGAAACATGCACCTCACAAGAAAACACAGCGCACTAAAGAAAACATGTAAAGAAGGAGCAAATACCGAAAGAATCAGCAGCAACTATCGAACGCAGAGCACAAGTAACAAATGCCGATCCCAAGTCAGTTTCAAAGCGCGCTTCCACCCAGCTTAGGCCTGCCAGCGTCTGGATTTGAACATTCCGAAGACAATGACAGGAACGGGGTGTATCCCAATTTGTCAGTTATACATAACATACAAAGGAAGCCTAAACCCCGAACTTCCGAACCCCTAACCCATCACTAATGATCGGGGGAAGGCTCGACTGGGGCGGCCTCGGATACTGAAGATCAGCTGCAGCGTCATGCTGCTCCGACAAGTCTACTCAGCTCTCTGATTTCCCTCTACTGCTCCAAAACGGGACATGACTGAACATTCCGGGAGGTGGTCTAACTACGACGTGGGGATTCAGGCATGACAAGTCTCATTTTCTGCTCACCTAGCATTACCGTCTCAACTACACTCGCATCACAACCGGCTACGGGGCTTTCTACTGTTGCTAGTAGCTAGTACTACTACATTTGTTGCGGATACTGCTCTGAGCGACTCCATCAAACATTGCAACTCCGACTGGCTTTGGCGAGTTACTCCTGCTCCGGGCGTTGTGACACCGGTACTTTGATGGATTTGAAGCCCGATGCTGCGTAGGAGAACAACCGTTGGAGGCTCAGGCTTTGGAGGTTTGGAGGATCTTCATCTCGGATTGTGTACACCTGGACTCGCCCTCTTCCTCCATCGCAGGCTTTGTGGCTTTAGCCGGGCCTTTCTATGTTTCCAAGGCTCCACGTGATTGGCGGAATCCAAGAGTGAAACGTTTCGCTTGTCTGGCATGGTTGCAATGGCCTCGAGATATGAGGTTGATAAAGTGTAAGCTAGGGTCTAGCACAGTTTCCAACATGGGGGTTCCCAAGAATAGGGGACCCTAATATAGTACCCCAAATAATAGGATCCCTATTATAAGGACCCCAAATAAGGTACCCCCTATTTTCGGAAACCCCCACATAGGAGCATTCCACAAGGGGCTCGGGGACATGGAACCCACACTCGTCTTCTAGAGGTTGGCTTGCAAGGTGCTCAGGTTTGGGTGACGAGTCCCCTTTAAGCTTATTGGGATTTTGGGTTAAGGTTTAGGGTTTAGGGGTTTAGGGTTTTGGGTTTAGGATTTCGGGTTTAGGGGGTTAAGGGGCTTCGTTTCCCTGTGCGGTGATCCGAGCCGGGAGCGCCCTTGGCACTTCTACTCAGAGCCGAAGCAAAGTCCAGCCTCAGAGCTCGCATTCCTTGGTAGGACCTTGCAACACCTACCCGGACCTACCCCTCTCTAGGCAGTATATGACTCATGAAAACAACGGCTATTAACCTTAGCCCTAAACCCTAAACCCTAAACCCTAAATATGGCTCCTTTAGGGGCCAAGCAACTCTCCCAAGTTCTCATGGAAGCCTCTGGGCCCGAACATGAGTCGAGCAACACAAGGGTAGTTCTCGAAAGTAGGGTCCCGTTTAGGGTCCTTTTTATAAGAGTGCCGTACTATATTGGGGACCCAAAAAGTGACCCTAGTTTAGAGAACTACCCACAGGAGCTGTAAGCAACCCAGAATCCTGGACAGGATGCAAAAACCCCAATGTGAATCCTTTCAAGGTTCCCCAAAACCCTGTCAAACCCGAAGTATAACCCTTTTAAGACTTTGCAGACAGAAACCTGAATTTCACAGCAAACCCACATCAACCCTGAGACCCCGCAAAACACAACAAATACCTATCGTCTCCATTGTAGCTCTTTTTGGGGATACCTTATAAACTCGTTAATATATATATATATATATATATATATATACGTATATATTTGGTTAAACCAAAAAAAGGAACTACAATGGAGACTATAGGTAAGGAGCAACCTGAGCAAACCTTGAGCCCTCGGCTTTCAGCTGCTCAGTCATCTCCTCGACCTCGCTCCGCTCCGCTTCCGAGAGCTCCGAGGCCTCCCGAAGAATTCTTCAAACGCTCGGATGACGGTGGAACATAGGGTTTAGGGTTTAGGGTTGGTTTAGGGTTTAGGGGTTTAGGGTTTAGGGTTTAGGGGTTTAGGGTTTAGGGTTTAGCAGTCGCTTGAGTGTGCCGGTGCTTCTGCGCGTGCGTCAGATGCTACATATATATATATATATATATATTGTTCATAAGCAGTTATGTATACAGGCACAAAGTTTATGTACGGTAATATGTTAACACTGTGTTCAGAACTTGGGATATGTGCATACAGCCATCCATCCGTCCATCCATCCAGCCATGCATGCATCCAAGACCCCACAGAAGCTGGCAAGGCCCAGAGTGGGGCCGCGTGCCTTGAAGTGCAACTCAAAGGCTGACAGAAACATCTCGTCGGCCTCCGATGGTGCGAGGATTGGGTTTAGGGTGTGGGATTCGGTTATGTGTATCCTCCTTGAGGCAACCGCTGCTGAAAGGGGCTATTTTGTGTAGGCATATTTGGACATTGAACTGAGGTTTAAGGCCTATGGGGTGAAGCTTCCGTCGCTCATGCTCCGGCTGTTGTGGGCAGAGGTCTGTGTCAAGGCTGTAGGCGTGGAGCGGTCCGAGTTAAGAGGTCAGCAAAAACATGGCGGGAAAGGTAGATTTAGACACTATTAAGACACCCTGTTCCAACTCTGATATCAAGACCCAACAGGCTACACAATTATGAGCTTAAACCTAGAGTAGAGTTCGATTGCATCTCTACCAAGAAAATCGAAGCCTGGTGCGCCGCAGCGTAGCTACCTTAGATGCAGGGCTGGAGCTTCGAGGCTTTCGGGCTTTAGGGTCATGGGGGAGGCAAAGTGTTTCGGGGATGATACTACGAGTCTGAGCGGCTTTAGCTCAGAGATGTCTTTCTTGGGTGCAAACAGCAAGGATGAACAGCCAGACGATCAATACAATCACAACAATGCAACTGTACTGAACATTGTATATATCTGTACTGGATGTCCCCACAAGTCATGCTGCCCGACTCTCCTTAAGCGTACGTCGTTGTGTCTGGCTGTGTGGAATTTGGGCTTGAGTTCAGGTCTCAGTGCGCCGGGGCATCTGGGCTGGAAGCATTTCCGGGCACAAACGATGACGACAATAATCAGCGCCAACCTCCCCCGAGGGGTTGTCGAAGTCCAACTTTGGGAAAATTTGAGGAATTCGAGGAACTGAACAACTAGTTGGCCTTGCAGCAGACGTACACCTTTCTAAGCTCGACGGGCAACCCTAAAAACTATGCAGGTTCCCGTGTTCCACGTGACAGACGAGCTGAGGCCAGAACGCAAGGCGAGCAGCCAATCAAAAGCTGTAAACATGGGAGCCTCGACCGGATGACTTCTTGGGAGGGTTTCAGGGCTTAGGTGGAGCTTAGGATTCTTGGGTCTGACGCCTCGGGGTTTTGGGGCTCACCGCCCAAAAGGCGTCACAACTAGAGCCTCTGGAGAATTGAGTTGGGAGTGCAGCACATTGCAGATCTTGGATTACAATTACAATACAAAGCGAAGGGTCCATGCTCCTCCTCAAAAGTCAGTTGCCGATATGGGCACCAGCTAGGCTGGTGTCAAAACCGTGACTTCACTCGCAGCTCTTCAAGACACATGGGCAGAAATGGCATCCAACAGCCGCTGAGCTCTCTTGATGTTCCTGTATCAAGCCCACTCCTGGCCCTCAAGCTCTAAAGTGAACATCCCTTCGGCTCGGTGTCGTGTGGCATCCGAGAAGAGATATTCGTGCTTCGACATATGTTGTAATAGTAAAGTCTTGCAATTACTTAGATTGTGGTGTAAAGGCAGACTGTGCGTCAGCTCAGGGTAGTGCATTCCACTCGACTCTCCCTCGCTGCTGCAAGCTCTACACCAGATTCTTCAGACATCTCCTATCATCTGTCTGGTGCTTAGTAGGGAATGG